GGCCCGAAACGTCAGCCTCTCTGCTCCTATGATGCTGCTTGGCCTGCTGTGTTCATCCAGCCCTGCACCTTGTTGTCTCTCCTTCCCCTCACTCCTTCTGTCTGCATTTCACAGGAATCGTTTCCTCTGGGACATCCTATGCCATTCCACAACCACCAACACCACTGCCCTCTCCACGGCACCTTCCCATGCAAACACAAAATGTGCACCACCTGCACTTTCACCTCCTCCCTGCTCACCATCCAATGGCCTAAACAGTCTTTCCAGGTGAGGCAGCATTTCACCTGTACCTCCTCCAATCTTGTGTATTATATTCACCGCACCCAATGTGGCCTACTCTACATTGGAGAAATCAAACACAGACTGGGCGACTGCTTTGCGGAATACTTCTGTTCTGTGTGCAAGCAGGACCCTGACCTTCCTGTAGCTGGTCATTTTAACATAGCGTCCTGCTTGCATGCCCGCATGTCTGTCCTCGGTATGCTGCAGTGTTCCACAGTGAATCACAGCACAAACTGGAAGAACAACACTTCATTTTCAGGCTAGACACTTTATAGCCTTCTGGACTTAATATTGAGTTCAACACCTTTAAATTGTGAACCATTTCTTTTAGCTTGTTATCATGTCCTCCTCTCCCCTCATGCAGTTACTGTCAAGTCTGGCAGGAGACACAACATTGTTCTGCCATTCTCACATTCTGATCATTTAATCTGAACTATTAACATCTTTTAACATCTACTAACCCCTCACCTATCCCCCCCCCAAACTATAGCATAAATGCTTCCCCTCTACACTTCACTTCAGCTCTGATGAAGAGTCATCTAGATTCAAAATGTTAGCTTGATGTTCTCTGCGGATGCTGTCTGACCCACTGTGATCTCCAGCATTTGTTGTTTTCACAACATTAGCCATCCTCCAGTCCTCCAGCACCTCATCCATGGCTGTAGATAATACAAACACCTCTGCTAAGGGTCCCACACTTTCTTCCCTAACTTCCCACAATGTCCTCAGATATACTTGATCAGGGCCTGGAGATTTAGCCACCATTGTGTGTTTAAGACCTCCAGTGTTTCCTCTTCTGTAATAAGGACTGTCTTTAAGACATCAATATCAATTTCCTGTGGTTCCCTAGTCCTCATTTATTTCTCCACAGTAAAAATGGACATGAAATATTCATTTAGTATCTCTCCCATCTCCTGTGGTTTCACACACAGTGGCCCTATTCTCTCTCTGTTTTTGTTCTTAATGTACTTGTAGAATCTCTTTGGATTATCCTTAACCTTAACTGCCCAGGCTATCTCATGTCCTCTTTTTGCCCTCATGATTTCCCTTTTAAGAATGTCCCTACAACCCTTGTACTCTGCAAGAGATTCACTTGATCCAGGTTGTGAATACATAATATATGATTCCTTCTAATTCTCTACTAGTGTCTCAAAATTCATCCATTGCTCCCCACTCTTTCAACGTTAGTCTTCACTCTAACAGGAACATAATGCCTCTGAATTCTTGTTATCTCAATTTTCAATGAATCCCACTTGCCAGTCGTCCCTTTATCTGTGAACATTCTACTACAAGCAACTCTTGAAAGTTCCTGTCTCATATCATCAAAATTTGTTTTATTCCAATCAAGAGCTTTAACTTTTATACAAGGCTATGCATTTCCATAACTATTTTAAAACTGGTAGAATTATGATCACTGGACCCAAAGTTCTCCCCCATTAGCACTTGTCCTGCCTTATTTCCCAAGAGAAGATCAGGTTTTTCTCCTTCTCTAGTAGATACCATAGGTATAGTAGGCAGGAAGAAACTCATCCTCTTCATTGTGAAATTGATGACCAAGGGCATAGATTTAAAGTGAAAGGGCAGAAAGTTTAGAGGAGATATGAGGAAAACGTCTTTACCCAGAGGTGGAGGGAATTTAGAACTCACTACCTGCAAGGGTGGTAGAGGAAGAAAACTTCATAAAAGTTAGCAATTGTTTACATGTGCACCTACAATACCAAGGCTTCCAGGGCTATGGGACAATTGTTGGATAAAGGGATTAGAGTAATGAGGTACTTGTTTTTGAGCAGCAAGCCAAAGAGCAGAGAGTTATTTTCTGTGCCATAGATCTTATGACTCTATAAATGTGTTCACTGGGAAGGAGTTGAATTTGTGGAATTCTTTACCACTGTGGGGTGGGGTGTGTGCGGGTTAGTGTTGTGGAGGTTGATCGTTTACGTATATTCGATTAAATGAAATAGACAGATTATTACTTAATAAGTAGATCAATAGTTTTGTTGGGGGTGTGGGGTTGGAAAAAGAAATTAGAGTTGAGAATTATCAGATCAGCCATGATCTAATAGAAGGGCGGGGAAGTCTCGTTGGGATGAATGGCCTACTTTTGTTACGGTTTTAATGGTGATAATTGGCAGGATTAAGCAGTCTTCCATTCCTGTTGGAAAATGTTGACCTACTTGGGGTTTAAACGTTCGCTTGATTTGATTTCACATGAATACCGTCTGCAGAAATAGCGATCCATTAAATTTGATTGGCCACGTCAATGAAGGTGCCCCGCAACCTAGTTGATTGCGTGGTGTCTCAGAGCTTTAATCCGTTTGATCAGGTCGAGGGTGAGTCATTGGCTGTGAGGCGCTGTGGGATGTCCTCAGGTCATAACGGACGCCATATAACTTCACGTTCTTTCTTATTCCGTTTAATCCAGTGATAGGTTCCCTGCAGGAAAGCCATGGCCTTGTTCCTGATATTTTTGATGCTAGCTGTTGTGCCGATGCGGGAATCACATGGAATGGTTTGCAAGCCTCGAGCAAAAGATGATTTGCCGAATTTGTCTGAAGATGGTGATATTATCCTGGGCGGAGTATTTTCAGCACATTTAGATGTGATTCATGATGTTCCTTCATTTGTCGTTAGTCCATCAGACGTGTATTGCGAAAGGTAGGTCAGTGCAAGAAAAGATAAAGAAATCATGATTTCACGAAACCACACGTCCCGAATAATTTTCTGAATTCAGTGGATAGTCATCAATTGCAGTATTTAAACAGTTTGGCCTTTGTCTTTAACATAATTCCAATATTTTTAATGGGATAACTATTTCGCAGAATAATGATCATTCTTACCAATCTAAATAACACAACAATGTCGAATTTCAATTTGGACACAAGGACAAAGTGAGTTCTCAAGAAGTCACATAAGACTCGAAACGTTGACTCTGTTTCTCTTAGCACGCATGCTAGAGCTACTGAGCTTCTCCAGCATTTTCTGTGTTTGTGTTTAAGGAAACAACGGTTACTTGTAACCATATTGAATTTTTGACGAACTTTTTTTTGTTGTCCTTGCACTGTAAAAAATGGTAACGTACTCGACAGACTTCTAAAGGAATCCCAGACAGTATGTGTAATGCCTCGAAGATTCACTGACTATATACATGAGTATTAATTAGAAATACAATGTTACAGCGGTGATGTCATTGGATTCAGTTAAGCAATGTTCTGTGTTTACCTGCAAAAAAATCTGAACAATATTCGGCAAAACTGTATTAAAATGCCCGAAACTCTGGTGCAGTTACCTTGACATCAAGTTCCGTCCTATATTGTGAATCGTTGTGTTCTTACACTCATCACCTAAGTAAGCTGGGTAAATAATTGAATTTAATTGGGATTAAACAAAAACATAAGAATGCCACGAAGTTATAAACTATTTTGGATGGATAGTTGTGCCCCCCTTATTAATATATTACATTTTAAACCTAATTGTCTTTCAGTTTTACTTATCAGCTAATCAAACACGAGTGCTAGGATAGAAAAAACGCAACAAGCGAAGATTCACTTTCGGACCTTGTTATGAGGAATGAAACAGAGAAGAAACGATAGGCAACATCTAGTTAACAGTGATCATACCCTTCAACATGATGTAGAATGACAAGTATGGTGGAAATGGGGAAAAAGATTGTGGGGAAGTTGATTTTGAGAGGTTGAGATGAGAACTTGGGAACGTAAAATAGGCAGTAGTATTCACAAAGGACAATGTAGGACAGCAATGGGAAGGATTTTAAACGATACTCGAAGTCGTGCTGGAAAATATATTCCGTTAAACGTAAGGAACGAACTAAACGCTGGCGAGACTGCTTGGTCGAGTAAACACGTGGGAACAACTGAGGGCTAGGAAAAGGGCATAGGTTATTTAAATAGAAGAGATATGCATGATCAGAGGGAAGACAAAGAGATGAGGAGAGAACTATAAAGGACAATTAGCAAGGCAAAAAGGAGCTACGCGGTTAAGTTGACCAAGCAGCATAAAACGCGTAAAATGTTTTAGAGATCCATCAGTAAATAGGAAGGCTATGCTGGGAATAGAACCGCAGCTAAAGTTACATAGAAATGCTTACTTTTGATTTAACAGGGAGATAAAGCAAGGAGACGTACATTTACAGAATGATACGTGCAATGAGGTGAGTGCAACTAAAATTAATGACGGTTTATTGGATATATCAAA